CTCTGTTTTTCTTTCCTGTAAGTCTGTCTCTATTTCGCTCTCCTTGTCTGTCTGTCTCTCTGTCTCTCTTTCCCAATTTGTCCTCCTGTCTCTTTCCCTATCTCTCTGCCTGCCTCTCTCTCTCTCCCTCTCTCTGTCTGTCTCCCTGTCCCTATCTGTCTCTCTGTCTCTGTCTCTATGCCTATCTCTTTCTGGACACATCTTGCCCCCATGGAATGGGTCCACTCAGTCTTCATCACAATCCTTCTCCCTGTCCCCACCCCTCAGGACAGCCATTTGACCCCTCCCTGCTGCTGGCCCAGGCCACCTCCAATGTTGCCTGCTCCCTCACCTTTGGCCTCCGTTTCCCCTACGAGGATAAGGAGTTCCAGGCCGTGGTCCGGGCTGCTAATGGCATCCTGCTGGGCATCAGCTCCCCTTGGGGCCAGGTAAGTGGGTGGGACCCCTCTCCGGCCACCTTTTCCAAAGGTTCCGGCCCACCTCTTCCAGGTAACCCCCAGAGCACCCCATGCAGCTGCCCCTCTGCCGTGATGCAGGGCCAGGCCCTGATGAGAACAGCTGCCTTCTCCCCACAGGCCTACGAGATGTTTTCCTGGCTCCTGTGGCCCCTTCCAGGCCCCCGCACACAGCTCCTCAGCCATGTGGGCACTCTGGCCACCTTCGCCATTGAACAGGTGCAGCGGCACCGGGGGAGTCTGGACGCCTCAGGCCCTGCACGCGATGTTGTGGATTCCTTCCTGCTGAAGATGGCAAAGGTTAGAGAAGGTTAAGGGTGGGAGTGGGTGTGCTCCTGAATGGGCTGGTGACCTGGCAGCCTGTCACCTGGGTGTGGCCAGGAATCTCTGTCAGGCCTCCCTCTCTCTCTCTGCATCTCCCTCCCTCCCTCCCTCCTTCTCTCCATATCTCTGTGAATGTATGTCTGTGCATGTGTGCATATCTCTTCTTTCCCCTGCATGTTCTCTCTGCCTGCCTCACCCCCTACCTCGTGCACATCTGAGTCTCTTGCATCTCTTCTCTTTCCAGCCTCAGCCCCGTTAGGCCCCATGCCCAGTGACCTGCCACCAGCAATCCCACCATCACTTCACCCCACCCCCCGCACCCCTCCACACAGGATATTTCCTACAAATCATAATCATTTACTTATGAAACCTTGCAATAACAAACTATACTAATAAAGTCCACTTTATTAATGACATAAAAACAATTTATTATTATATGAGAAAATAAGAATTAAGGTGACTCCTGTGGAAATAATTAGCTTTGGATTGTACAAACTTTGGAATTATGAGAGATATTCAGGGCCACATCCTTTGAATAAATGCAGCCACCCTGTTCATAAAGAGAGAGAGATTTTTTTNAGAGGGAGAAGCCATCACAAGGAAGACCTAGTTTTATTTTTCTCAGCTCTTGGTTGCCTTCCTGATGTGATTTTGAGTAGGCAGTGCCTTCTCCTTACACACACACACACACACACACACACACACACACACACACACACACACAGTTACAGGGTATGGGACATAGAAAGTACTAGGAAAAGAGAGGATGGGGTGAAGGAGTGGGTGAGAGGACTGATGAACGGTGGGATGTGGGGCTGGGCTGAGGAGATAGCAGTAGAAGACCAAAGAACATTGCTGCCTTGTGTTCTGTGACATAGCCAAGTCCCTAAGTTATTCTCAGCCAGGGATGCTCTTAGAATCTGGGGAAGCTGCAGGCTCCGGTAGCAAGACTCATCTTTAACTTCCTCTTTGCCCAGTTCTGGGTACTGGGTCGGGCAGGGTAGCTTTGAAGGAGGGAAGGGAAGGAGACTAAGCAAAACTGGAAAAGGGAAGGCGTGGGCTGGAGAGCAGACCGCCGTGGCTCATCCTCAGACTGCAAGTCAGGTTCTAGAACCATAAGGCTGGGAAGATCTCAAGAAAAATAACCCCCACCCTCACCCTCAGCAACTTCCAGAACCTACCACTCAGCCTGCTGGGTTGGCAGCCTCCAAAGTAGTCTAAGGAAATCGACGGGTGGGAGCTTAAATTTAAAGAGAGTCCCTCCAGCCCCACCCAGCCCAGATCACAGGGTGTCTGACGGGAAGTACCTGGTGGGGGACGAAGGTGTTCAACTGTAAGCTGCTGAACAAGATGTGTGGGCCTCTCCCCACCAGGGATGAGGAGAGGCCAGGATCCACCAGCAATGACTCGGTTTCTTTTGTTAAAGAGAAAACCACAGGCCCAAAATGGCAACACTTGTGCTAAAACCTAGATTTAATGCCTGATCTAATTGCAGTTTCAAACTCGCCCAGACACACAGCCTTATCAACCAGCCTGGAATTTTCTGGTCCAGCACCAGTAAAGGAATCTGTCACATGGGCCCTCTCTACCCACCATAGAAAGAAGAGGCAACCTGCATGATAAAACCCTCCCCTTTCTCTTTCCCCAAAGAAAAGATGTCTCAGCTCAACAATAACCCTTTCTGTTCCTTTGTCAATAGCTCCCTTGCCCCATCCTTCTTCCTGTAAAAATCTGTGTTGTACAACACCTTGGCACACCCTCCTC